GACTTTCAAAAAATTTATATAAGGGATCGTCCATAAATTACGTAACGTAAAATTTCACAGAACTTCTGTTCTTAAAATATTTTTTGCTTTGCGTAATTTATGGACGATCCCTAACTATAAAACCCATCTAGGAATGCGATGAAAAATAACTTTCTGCGATGAAAAATAACTTTCTTTTGTAATGAAACTTTCGTTTAGTTTAAGCTTCTATCAATTTTCATAGAACTTTATCCAATTTCGAAGAATTTATTAAAATTTTGAATGCTTTTCTCTTTGCAAACAAGCTTTCTATTCGCTTGATTACAACTTAGGGCCGTGAGTTGTCATCAAACAAAAGCTAGTTTGCAAAGAAAAAGGCATTGCGTAATTTATTTAAAAAAACAGAAGTAGGAGATTTTAGTCACTTTTACGCGGCGATCATTAAACTTAATGCGCTATTTTGATTTTTTTATAACTTAAAGGGTTGTCCACAAAATACATAACGCAATTTTTACCTCTCCCCCTGTCACAATATCGTAACTCTTTAGTAACAAGTTCCGCATGAGTGGTCACAAAACCACTAACTCCCCCCTCCCCATCTAAAGCGTAAGGTTCTGTGAGAGAAAACATTTACCTTTTTTGTTTTATTAATTAGTGAAATTTAACGTTGCGTAATTTACGGTCGATTCCTTATCTATTATTAAACTATAAAACTCCTTTGGGAAATGCAATGAAAAATAGCTTTCTTTTTATAATGAAACTTTTGTTTAATTTAAACTTTTATCAATTTTTGAAGAATTTACTTAATTATGGAATACCTCTGGGAATTGCGGTGAAAAATAATTTTTTTTTGAAACAAACTTTAGAAAATCTTTAAAACCTCTAAAAAACTCTTGTGCAACTGAGAGGTTCCCACCAACGGAGACCCTAATCTGCTGCCTAGTTTGCCTATGTCTAAGGTCGGAGCTAATTAAAACAACGAGACACCAAATCATCTAAATTAATGAGAATATTCTGAGGAATGTTATGCTAACATTATTCAATCAAATGGTCTTTTTTGGTTGATTTCTTACGAACTTAATGCCGGTTGATGTTTTCCCAAAAATGCTCAAAAGGATTGGAATCTGTGAAGGCAAATTAAATTTTTTGTGGTTTAAAACATTCTTTAACAGATCTAGTAATACCCTTTAAATTATACATAATTTCTAGTAATAAATACATAATTTCTAGTAATACCCATTTTCACAAATGGTCATTTTATACTTTGAATGTGACAAATTTTTTTATGTCTAAACTCTCTATTTTATAATACCTTCTACGGAATGAATTGGAACCACGTTGTACAATTTAAAAAACCCTCATAACATTTCCTTTTAAAGTAGGTAACTGATATTTTGAATCAAATCTGATTCGTAATTAAGATGCCAGTTCAATGACTATTTTTTTACTTAAGAAGTGATACCAAACCTGATTTTGTAAAATTATAAATAAATTCGTAATTTTTTCAGTTTTATGGTTAAATAAATGGATAAAAAAATAAATATATAATCAAAATAAGTTTGACAACAGTCATGGACGTTTTGCACTAAAAACTTAAAAAAAAATAATTGGCGTTTCTAAACTTTTGCACGCTACTGTGCAAACATTTTAACTTATAATTTTTTTTTCAAATGAATATTTAACTAGTTGCTGTATTAAAAATTTTAAACAGCTTTCACGTGTTTAAAATTTTAAAAACGGCTTAATTGACATCTTTGTTTAAGCTTTGTTTAGTAATTGTTGACATCTTAATTGATTGTATAGTGATTGTAATTGATAAGAAATTGTTTGAAGTAAATATCAATTTAAGCTTCTCAGAATTTTTGAGACTAAACTCGAATAATTATGTTTATTTTGAATATCTACCAAACAAATATTTCATCCCTCAATTTTAAGGTTCAAAATTATCTAGAGTATAGATCCTAAAACTTTTATCCCTTTATTGTAAATAAATCCAAATAATTTCTCAACTAAATACAAACAACAAAATAATTTTGCTTAAAAAAAGAGTAACTTTTTTTTGTCTTTAGCTAAACTCAAAATATTATTTATGGACTTATGAACTTGAATAACACAGGTCTATAAAAAATTTATTGCATTAAATTTGACACTTGTTCTTACATAATTTTGATACGCTAAATTCAAATCTGGCATTCAATTTTTATGGAAAGCAACAGATTTTTTGCAATTTATATTTTTTTTAATTTTGCAAAACAGTAGAAATAGTTCTAAAATACAGATTTGAAACTCATTTGGAAATGCTAGGATATACTTTTTAGAATAAAAGTTGTTTACAAAACTAAAACAAAAACAGAAAGCAAATGAAACTAAATGTAAACTGATTAAAATAAATATTTTTCAAATATCCAAGTCCTAGCAAAGTTATTAACTGATTAATATTATTATTGATTAATAACAAAATCTTTTACTTTAGTGAAAGATCAAAATCTTTTTTACTTTGATTTTAAAAAGATTGCAGATTATATTGCTTATTTACAACTACTTAATCAGAAAGAACCTTTTACTTGTTGCTCTTTCGTTTATAAACTTTTCCTGTGTGTATGTCCCAACGTCCTTGGTAACGATCTTCGATAGTTTTATATCTTGATGGAATCGCTCTGCTTGCTCTTCACTCACATCTCCAAGATTTTCAGGAAACTGGTCAAGATGACTATTTATATAATGAAGCTTTATACTCATTTTGCACCCAAGATCACAAAAGGCTTTCAACATTTTATCTCCTGCTTTTTTTTCTTTATTGACAATCCTGGTAATGATTTAACTATATACTGAAAACAATCACTATCAGTTTTTAGTGCTTTAACAAATTGTTTCATGAATCCAAGTTTAAGATGGAGTGGTGGAAAAACTATTTTGTTTCGACTAACAATCGGTTCATTAACAATATTTTGCATGCCCACTGTGAGAGTCATGCGAATGGGCCATTCTTTTTGTATCCAGTGTTGATTTCTCGCTCGACTGTCCTCTGTATTTACAGAAATAACATGGAAATTTTGTAAAACCTTTCTGCTAACCAAGTAGAAAGTTAACCATTTTTAGATCTACACAAATAATTCAGTTGTGTTCATGATATTTAATCAAGTCAAGCACCATTTTGTAGTAGGAGATCTGAAATATCATGACAGTAAACAAATAAATTGACTTCTGAAAAAAAGTCAACAAAAGTTTCATCTTTTGTTCTAAAATAAGATTTTTTTCTTTTAAACGTGACGCTACTACTTCTGCTGCTTGTTTAGAAAGCCCTAAATCACGAACTAAGTCATTCAGCTCTATCTGACTAAAACACTGAGGCAAACTGAATTGTTAAGCATTAGATGAGAAGTCTTCCAAATCTGGTAAAAGTTCTTCTGTTTCTGTAGAAGACACAATTTGCTCATCTTCTGACAAAAATAAACCTTTAAAAATTGGAAATGGAATCTCGTTAGAATGTTGAATTGATCTAATAGCAGAAGGAATGCTGGGATAAGTTATTTTTTGTCTCTTAACTTTGCCAACACCACTAGTATCAACAAGACAAAAATAGCAGTCATCAATATGATTTAGTGGGTCCCTTCAAACTATAGGGACTCCAAAAGATAAATTATTTCTTTTTACTTTTGTCCAATCTCGAAGACTTTCTTCACAAATATGGCATACAGTATGTGGAGCCCACTTTTTGTCTTGGTCACCAAGTTTAATATCGAAATACGATTTATATGCTAATTTCACAAAATTAATAATTTTTCGTCTTTGTCGAACAAGTGCATAGCAACCACATATATAACAAAATGAGTTAGGATTATGCTTGCACTTATGTCGATTTGAAGAAGCCATCATAATATATATTTGATCTAATAAAACAATGAGATGGTTACTTTTTTTATAACTATTGAATAAAAATAGCTATGAAAAAACATAATTTTTAAAAAAATGATAAATTGAGAATTGCAAAAAAACTAGAGCTTACCAACAAAAACGGACATTATATTTGGATTCAGTATTTAAAAATACATAAAAATAAGTTTCAATACCCATGCAACAGAAAAAAAGTTTTTTTTTGTAGACCTGTGTAATTAGCGTTGAACTGGTAGATAAATTTAGCTCTATTTTTCTAATGGTCATAAACTCTGGTATCTCCTCTAGTTTAATGTTTTTCTTCTTGCTGAGTATTTTCAAGTTTTTCTTTTCAATACAATACCGATCCTCTTCGTTTATATGAACGTTTCTTTCTTTTGCCTGAGTAAACATTTTGTACGTTTGCCTGAGTAAACATTTTGCCTTTTTTCTTTCTACTTTCGTTAGCCTAGTAATTATATAGCTACTGTTTTATCTGATAAAGTAAGAAACATCTATACGTCTCTCCAATAAAGGAATAACAGAATGATTACCTAATCCCGACTTGATATCGTATTACCTGATGTCCATCAGATAATATGAAAACAGGTCATTTAAAATTGTTTACTTTAAATACTCATCAAATTCCTTAAATGTTTCTGTTACCAATTTTTTTTTAAGGTTCTGAAGTGGTTACCAGTAGACGTTTGATGTTAGCTGCTGCTTCATTTGGCACCATCAAACTTGCTATATTGACATTGTTAAATATTACTTGACACATACACATCTCTCCTGGAATTGCAAGTAATAGTTTTTATTTGTAATTAAAATTAGTTTAAAAAATTACATAATTAACTAGAACATAACACAGTTTTATTTTACTTTTAATGTTATTAAATAAATAGCGAATCTAAAGTTAAGTATAGTTTACTGATTTAATTTAGTAATTTAAGCTTATATTAGATACACAAGTATCAACCGAGCATCAACCGAGTATCAACCGAATTTTAAGTTGAGATAACAAGTATCAACCGAGTTTTAAGTTGAGCTAACGTCAGCTAAACGACACAAAAAGTGTGAAAATGTTTTTATAGGTAATAAAAAAGAGTAGGTAATAAAAACTTATGATTCAAAAAATTACCAAAATGTCGTGTTTGATGCATCTACTACAATAAAATAATTTTTACAAAAAGCAAAATTGATTCGTTTACTATTCAAAAATTACTTTTTATAAACAAAAAATTTTTAATGGTCAAAATTAAATATTTTCATAAACTGAAAATAAAATGTTTTTATTGATCAAAAACAAAAAACTGCAATTTGTCAAGTAAAAAATAAATAAATTGCAATTGATATAAAAACTAAACAATGTAACACAAGTTAAGAGCAGTTTTATGCAAGATATTTTGTGTTCTTTTTAAAAAACCCTAAAAGGAATTCACTTTAAATAGATTTTTTAACATATCAACTACAAAACATGAAAACGACGACCCTAAAACCATAGGTAAATAAAACTAACTGAAATATATGCTATTGCTAGTTTCAACTCTTCTTTAATTTGTTGAACTCTAAAATAAAAATTAATAAAAAAGTAATAAAAAAACTAAAATACAAAAATAATAAATTAAAAAAATAAAATGAAAAAAGCCATTTCAAAAAAAGATTTTTCACATCTGGAGACGATGTTTTTACTTGGATTTTCTTGTGTCAAAATAACACAATAACTCGTTTAAGTTTGATGCTCTTAAAAATATTTGTTTTCAAAATAAAAATAAAAAATAATTTTTTTTTTAATTTTCTATTTGATACCTTTAGTGAAAATATTAATTTTTGGCGGCCTAAAAGCATAATGAATTTAAGATGAAAAAAACTATTTAAAATTCTTTCAGTGCGAAGTTATCGTGATTTTAACAGAAACATCTGAAAAAAGTTAAAAAAAAAAAACAACAGTAAACGAAGTTAAAGCCAACAACAATTATCAAAAATAGATAAATAAAATAAATAATAATTCGTTTAAAATAAGCATTTTTCCATACGCAAAAAAATAAAAAAAAATAAAAAAAAAAAAAAAAAAATTGCAGAACTTAAAAATCTAAAAAGATTTAAAATATTTTCAAACTTTCATAAGAACTATCGAGAGTTTTTCTATATATTGACATAATTTAAAACTTTTCAGGACTGATGTGAATAATGGTAATATATTCGTTTAAAAACTGCACACACTTACAACAGATCAAGCAACAATTTCTTTTGATGATCGCAACCTAGCAGAATCCTCGGCTCCAGAATACACAATTTTAGTAGGAGAATTACCTCTAAACCAAAAATAATTCATAATAAATTTCACACGCTTTTGAAAAAAAGTTAATTTTCAAAGTTCAACATTTTCTAATCTCGTATTTATTAATAATAAATCCTTGACGTGAAGTTAACTTTTGACCTGTTTAACATTCAAGTTATTAATTACGCTAGATATAATTGGGTAAAAATATTTTATTGTTAACAAAATTAATAACTATAATATTATATATATATATATATATATATATATATATATATATATATATATATATATATATATATATATATTATAATATATATATATATATTTTTTTAAATAATTTATTATAATATATAATATATATATATATTTTTGAATAATATATTATAATATATATAATATATATATATATATATATATATATATATATATATATATATATATATATATATATATATATATATATATATATATATATATATATATATATATATATATATATATTAGGGATGCGTCGAACGTTTGGTTCGGCCGAAACTCAGCAAATGTTAGACAAAATATACAAAAAAAGTAAATTTCGAAAAACATCTTAAAATACCGCATAAAACTTTATTATTTAACTATAAAAATACGGATTTGTTGGTAAATTTTCTTCTTGGATAACTTCTTTCCTTTCAAAACGTCGACAACGTGTTGTTTTAAGAGAAACAGTATCTGATTGGGTTCCTGTCACTAACGGTGCTCCTCAGGGTTCTGTTTTAGGTTATACTTTGTTTATTATATACGTTAATGATCTTCCTGATAAGATAAATAACGCTTGTAAAATGTATGGGGATGACACAAAGATACTTTCTATAATTGAAAACGAAAAGGACTGTGAACGACTGTAGAGCAATATCAATTGGATCACAGAATGGACAAAATAATAGCAAATGCAACTCAACGAAAGCAAGTGTAAAGTAATGCGTATTCTAGGTAATTCTAACTTATCAAAATCTAATTACTATATTAATGACCTTAGTACACACCAGATAATTAGGCAACATGGTCACCTTATTTAAAAAATATTGTACCACTTATTTAAAAAAAGATATTAAAATTTTAGAGAAAATTCAAAAACGTGCTTCAAAGATACCACACAATCTTCGTAACTTTAATTACTCTAATCGCTGTTCTGCCATTAAACGCTCATCACTATAAAATAGACGCCAACAGGAAGATGTAATTCAACAACACAAACTAGAAAATTTCAAAAATAAAGTAGTCTGGCATAAAGAACTTATTGTGGTTTTATAACTATTCGTGGTTTCTCCACGAACTGATTAATATTTACAATACAGCAAAGTAATCATAAAGAACTGCGTTCAACGGTATCATTTATACTTAAAAGTCTAACGAAACTGTAAAATGAAAATACATTCCCGAAGTTACTATAGCTTTATCATTCTTCTACGTTTGATATTGTTGCTTGAAACAGATAAAATGCTTCAAACAAAGACGACAATTTAAACAAAAATGATATTTTATTGAACTTGTTTATTTGTATAAAGGGATGTCTAATGTTACTGTGGTATGGCAAACCAATTTCACTACAGAGAAATTTTCTCCATTTATGTTTATTTATATCTCTATACGTAACTCTATGATAACTTATGATGAAGTTCCATAATAACGTTCCAATTTAATATGGAGTTATTAATATATAACTATCCTTTATAACAGAAACAAAAATAAACAAATCAATAATTTCAGTCTTTTACATAAGTAAATAATTGTTTAAGGAAGAAATAAAATATCAAAAACATAAGTGAAATTCAATCAGGATGGCCACACTTTTTTTGAGCTATAAATTCAATCAGGATGGTCCCACTTTTTTTGAGTTATAAATTCAATCAGGATGGCCACACTTTTTTTGAGTTATAAATTCAATCAGGATGGCCACACTTTTTTTGAGTTATAAAATTAGAAGAACTTGGGAGCTTTTTAGAGATTTTACCAGTAAACTTGGTAGAACAAATGAAAGAATTAGGATTATTTAGGTGTATTAAAATTTTTTTTTACGAAATTTAAATATTATTTAAAAATTTTAATAAAAATTTTGAAAGTTTGAGTTGAATGTTCGAAAGAAAACTTTAAGTTCAAAAAACAAGTTCAAATTAGAAGATTTTAGAAGGCATTTTTGAAATTCAAGTATATTTTAGGAGAATTTAGGTCTTTTTAGGAGGTTTCTTAAGTATTAGAATATTTAAGAATTATTAGGAGGCATGGCCACCCTGTCAATTATCACTTGTTGTTCTCAAGTTATAATATAAAAACATTAAATTTTCACCACTTTCTGGTAGTATTCAGTTTCTATTAGATTATATATTCATAAATTTTGCCCTCTGAAAAGATTTTATTTTTAAATAAATTGTTTTGATTACATGATTTAAAATTTAATACTGAATTACAAAAAGTTTAACCAAAAATATATAGAAGAAAGAAATTTTAAAAATAAATTTCTTAACATATTTTAAAACATAACAAAGATTATGTAATATGTAACTTACAAATGTTATTATATCTTTTATGTTATACTTATTATATCTTTTATGTTATACTTATATTTATTTTTGTTACCTAACTTATATTTGAATGGGTCATTTCAGAAACATCATAAGTTAAAAAAAGCAACTTTTGGAAAGTATGAAAAAAATTTAAATTTTGTATACAAAGCATCAAAAACAAAAACAAAACAAGGATACATAATACTAAAACAAAGCTGTATTACAACAGTGCCAAGAGAAAGTTATTTTTAGGTAACGATTTGTAAAAATACAAAGTTGTATTAGAACAGTGCCAAGAAAAAGTTATTTTTAGGTAACGATTTGTAAAAATAAAGACAAAAATCAACAATTCAGTTTTAAAAACATATATTTATGTATTATGTAATACTTTTAGTACAAAAAAAACCTTTTTACAAATAAAACCATTATGTGGTAAAAATATTATTTTGCTCATTTAAAAAAAAAAAATTGCTGAGGTAATTAAACTACAGTGGCTCAAACTCTGGACAACATTCATTTACAGTGGACCAAGTCAGAATCTATTCATAAAACTGTTTAATATCTTCATCATCTGGAATATTAAGTTTATGGATGTCAGCAATCTTCTTAGTGTTGATTGGAATCATCCATCCATGACAAGCTTTGGCTTTAAGAAGTGGCAGCACTGGACAATTAAAATTCAAGAAAGTTAAAAAAATTAAAAAAAATGCCGACTTTTGAATGTAACTATTTTGTTTCTGGGAATATTGCGGCGAGCTGTTTTATTACACATTATTTTTTTATAAAATTGGGCCACCAGTTCTTAAAATCAGTGATGTCAGCATTTTTTACAATGACAACAGAAAATGCATTTTTCTTGGAGAAAGAACCAGATCATTATACTCTTTTAAGGTATAAATCCTATCAGTTTTCCAGATTTATCTTTTCAAGACAGAAAAGTTTTGGCTCTGCAAATATGAACCATTTTCAGCTGCAGCAAACTTAAAATTGTCGATTAAATATTTACTTTTAATTTTTACCTGTAACCACATGCATCAACTTGAGGTCCAAATTTAAACGAAAACTACTGCTTAAATATATTCAAATATAATTTGTAATCTATATTGATTCCAGGATACTTCTGTTAAAATGCCTTGTGCATGTCATATGCAGAAAGTTTTTTATAGAGAAAATATTTTTCAGTATTACCATAGTGAGTTATTTTTGTTGGATAAGAAGATATGTGCTCTTTCACCATGTTAATGACATTTTCAGGTTTAGCATTTCCTCAATTACTTCATCTATGTTTATCATAAAGGAGTTGTCCTGTCTTCAAAAGGTTGCCCAGCCTTCTTAATCTGTGACTTGTCACTGTCACTTTTATGAGCCAATATTCATAAAAGCCAATTTGCACAACTAGTGTTTTCTAAATGGTGTTGATATTTCATTAAAAAAATGGCACACCTCATTCTAGCTTTGAAGTCTCATTAAAGGGCTTATGACTTCTTCTTTGCTTAACCTAGGCAGTACACATCAATTACTGCAGATAGCGATCTTGTTTATTTTTAGTTTTGAGACTAATAAACTTGTTGAATACCCTCAGTCATTCATCTCCATTGACTTCAAAACACTTTCTTCTGCACCTTAAAAAAGAAAAATAAGTTAGTTAGGCATACTCTAAGAAACTCAAACACAAAGAAACAGGGTTAAATTTTTACATGTTTTATTAAAAGGCTAAGCTGTTAGGGTGAGCCTAATAATAAAAATTTTTTAATTTAAAATATTACATGTCAAATAAGTAACAATAAAAAGCTCTTAGCAAGTGTTATATTATACAAGTATTACGCTCATACAGTCTTCAAATTATCATTGCTTTACTTCAAACACATTAACAAAACAAGTAGGTCTAAGTGAAAATTGACATCTACATAAAAATTATATAAGAACAATAAATACATCTAAAAAAGTTTTTAACTTACTTGCAACCTTCTCCAGGTTTTCGTTTAGGTATATCCTTCCCAGTGTAGTTTGTGTAGGAGCTTCCATCAACACATTTCTTTATTATTTCACTTTTATAGATAAATTTATATATTTTTAATATGTATATTGGATTGATTGATTGTATTTTAATATTGTGTGCAGCTAATTATTTATTAGCAGGAAAATACTTTAAAATTTTAAATGAATGGTAACTTTGCTTAATCAGCTGCAAAAATTTGCTTAATCAGTTGCTTAATCAGCTGTAAAATTACTTAGGTTGCAATTGTTAATGATTATCGGAAACAAACATTACAAACGATGTTTTCAAAAAATGCTTTTATTCAAAAATAGGAATAGTTCCCTTGCCAAATGGTTTAGTGTCAGGCGAAATATCATGAACGAATGTTTGTATTTGATGTTGGGCACAAAACCGGATACAATGCATACCTTTTTTACATTAAAGTAGTGATCATAATATATACATCATGACCCAACTACAAAGAACTGAAACTATTTCAAGTTAACATCCTCCTAATTTTGGGGAAGTTGATTCTAAAAACAAGTTTTTATGAAAATGTCTACTGGCACCCCTTAAATGTGTTCTAAAAAATGATACTGGCTTTAAAAACTATTTGAATAAAAAATATTTTTGGGGGTTGCTATGAACCCTTAAACATTAAATGAGCCCTTAATATTGTTAAAAAAAATCTCATGCTGGCCCTCCAACGAAGCAAAATTATATAAAAATTTCAAAAATATGAATAATATTTTAAGAAAAAAAAATATAATCAAAAAATCATGTTGAACTTCCTTTTTTCATTTTTAGTTGAAAAATGTTATTTTCTGGTCACTAAAATCTAAAATAATAATTTATTAATAAAATGATTCATATTATTGAAATTTTTATATAATTACGCTTCATTTGAGATCCAACATGACATACTTTTGAAAATTGTTTTTTGTTGATGATATTAGGGACCCATTTAATGCTTGAGGGTCCGTAGCAACCCCTAAAAAAGATCTTTTATTCAAAAAATTAAATATTATTATCCAGTATTATTTTATTATATAGAACACATTAAGGGGTGCCAGAAGAAAAAAGTTATTTTTAAAGTCACTCTATTATACATATATTAAAAACAATACATAGAAAATATAAAATTAAAATACGAAAAAATCCAACAATTTTATAAATTTTTTTATTGTAAGACTTTTTTGAAGCTAAATTTAATTAAATATATAGAATACAGAAATGAATATAATTAATAATAATTACACTAATGGTGAGGTTTCTTCATTTTCTTCATTTTCTTTCATTTTGTAATCTATGAAAAGTGCATATTTAGTATTAAAATAAAAAAGAAAAAAAAAAGAAAAGATTTTTACATCCAAAAAATCTACTAAGGCATGCATTGCACCTAAATGCATCAACTAATTTTAAATTACAAACAACTTCAATCAAGCTAATAAGTATAAAATGTAAAATTTATTTAAATAATAAAATTCTAATAACCAAGTAAAAAATTACTTTTTTTCCCTTGTTTTGACTTTTTGCAAGCTTCACATGAAAAAATAATAATTGCTAACAAAACAGCTTCAATTAGAATACCAACTGCAGGCCATAAAGCATTCAAAGGATCTGCATAAATTAAATAAAAAAAGTTATAAAAAAGTATATGAAAATACATAAAAAATTAAAACGCAATTTTTTCTTAAAACAAAAACATGTAATTGTGTATAGATGCATAGAAAAAAAAAGAGAAAACCAAAGAGGGTATGTCTTTATACATAGCTAAAAAGGAAAAATTATGGCTTTTATTTAATTATCTAACAATGGGTTAACTTGTTTAGCTGTAATGAACTAATACTTGCTTTTCAGCTAAACTTGATTGGCTTCATAAACTAACAGTTAGAATATTATGTTTCAAGTTTCTTTTCGGCATCTCTTCACTCTATCACCTTTCTTTATTGTTCTACTTCTTCTCAAGGCTACACTCTTTTAGATGAAGTTTCTGATCAGTGATATTGTTGTTATTGGTGACTTTAATGCTCATCACGCTTGACTCTAACACCAATCTCTTCTGAATTTTTTAATCTCTTACTCAGATAGTTAACTTTGCCTTGTTTTCCTGACAACCTTAACTATTTAATTTCACTCCTTGATTTATGTTTTGTCTCTGATCCTAGCTTGTGTTCAGTATCTTCTTGTTTTACTTTAGGTGGTTCTGACCATGACCAATGATCTTTACAAAGAATGGAAGCTTGTAATCCTTCTTGTTGGTTCTAAGTCAAGCCTCATTTACTCCATGGTTTTCACCCATTTGTGCAGCTGCTATAAATAATCATAACAATTTTTTTTATCTTTTTCAAAAAAACAACTCTCTTGAAAACAAACAGCTATTTATCATTGCGATGCTAAACTTCTACATTCTCAGTTCAAATTTCACATTTTCAGTTAGACTGTAGAGACTTTCGGAAAATCGTCAACATTGTCATTAACAAAGGTAGGTCTAAGGTTTCATCTCTCATTCATGGGCCTGATCTTATTACGTCTTCCAAAAATGAGGATTTACAAATAACTTTGCTTCTAATTTGATTTTTGAATCTTGTGTCCATCCCTTCCTTCCATTCTAGCTAAACAAGTTAACCCATTGTTAGATATTCATATCTAACAATGGGTTCTATTGCTAAAGCCATAAATTAGTTAAAATCTTCTATAGCTTGTGGTCTTGATGACATTTGTCAGTCTTAAAAATATTTTCTCCGGAACTCTTTTCAATTCTCTCTAACCTATTTAATAACTGCTTGACTAAGTCTTGTTTTCCTACCAGTTGGAAAATGGAGTCTGTGATTCCAAGAACATTCTGACCCATCCAATTATTGTGCAATCAGTCATTTTTCTGTTATTAGCAGTTTTTGATCAACAAACTACTCACATCCCATCTTGAATCAAATAACTTACTATCAGACAATACGGTTTTCGATCTCTCGCTTTACAGCTGACTTATTAACTGTGGCTGAAATTTTTATTGTGCATTAGATAGAGGTGAGGTACCCCAGGCTAGGGCTATTGCTCTAGACATATCTAAAGCTTTCAACAAAGTTTAGCATGCTGGTCTTCTCAATAAGCTTGCATCTTATAGTGTATCTGGGGAAGTTTTTGAGTTTATCAAATCATTTCTTTGCTGGTCTTCTCAATAAGCTTGCATCTTATAGTGTATCTGGGGAAGTTTTTGAGTTTATCAAATCATTTCTTTCTGAAGTTTTATTAAAGTCTTTATTTTTCTTCATTTCCAGTAACTTTTTGTGTTTCTTAACTTTTTATCATTGATTCTGTTTTGTTTCTTATCTACACTAATTATCTTTCTGACAATCTTACATCTAAAGTGGCTCTATTTGCTGAATACTTAACTTTATACTCCTGTATTGACAAAAAGTCTTCTCTTTTTGATTTCTTAGAATAGGCAGCCAAGTCTAATTCTTTTACCATATCATTTCCTTTTTATTTGTCTATTTTTTTTCACGCACTTCAACCCTTTAGAACTCTCTCCCATCTTCATGTTTTCCTGACTCATACAACCAACAACTTTTCAAGTCTTCTGTCAATTGTTTCCTTGCTTTATAACTCTTTTTTTTTCTTCTAGTAACACCCAACTTAATTGTTGTTATTGCAGTCTTGTAGAGATTGAATCAGAATTATATATAAAAAAAAGTGCCACAATAAATAATAAACTTTATAAATACACCCTTTATTATCCCATCTTCTGCCTTGCCCAGAGTGGAAGTTTTACCATTAAGCTCCAATACTATTAAGTAATAAACATCTCCTCAGAGTAGCGTCTATTATTACTGGCGTTTCGATGAGGATCAGCATTTATAACTAGTTTATCTCGTCAGATAAACATCATTGCCACTTATGCTTTACCCCGCGACTTACGCCTATTCCATACAACAATAACATCTTAAATGATGCTTTAATAAATAAAATCATCAGGTTGTTAGTCACTGGTTTCCATAAATAACATCATCAGGTTGTTAGTCACTGGTCTCCATAAATAACATCATCAGGTTGTTAGTCACTGGTTTCCATATAAAAATTTATTTAAAAAATCTAGCTATGTTTTAGTGAATTTTCATCACTTTCTACAACTCCTGTCAACTTAATTTTTTAACTTTTTTCAATACTGTCCTAATCTGCAACTGCTATTTAGACCAAAAAATATTATTTAAAAAAAAATTCTACTTCTAAATAAAATTTTATTAGCATTTATTGTTATTATCAAATTTAATAATTTAAGTATAGTTGTTATTATCAAATTTATTAAAATAAGTATGGTTTTATTTCTTAGTAATATTATTAAGACTGAAATCCAAAAAAAAACCTTTATGAAAGATGGAAGCTACTCTTAATTTTGTTGGTTTTATGTGTAGAAAATTTGGTAAATGCAAAAAAGTTAAAAAAGAAATTGAAACATAACTACGTTATTTAGATATAATTGGATCAGTTGGTGGAGCATTAGGCATCAAGAGCAATTAATAATGAGCCACAGTACACATTGCACCTCTTTTTAAGCAGTAAAAAAAATTGTCATGAAAAAGACAGAAAATGGTGATTATTGTCTTAATGTTACATTAAAATATAATAGTTAAAACAGTAATACTGTAGGGTCGAGGAAAAAATTTAGGCAATACTACTAAAAAGACCCCATCTGCGACTACTTTTAACTTCCAACTCTAGGGCTTTAATGAGTCCTAGATAAAACTTACCTCTAACCCTTAATGTAAATTCTTTAACAACTTGTGAATTATTAAAGTTAACAATGCAGCTATATACTGCACGATCACTGTACGTAACATCATTTATAGTCAATGTTTCATACTCTGACGAATTTTCTTTGCTAAACTTGTAGCGACTATCTGTGTAATCTAAAAGTAAAAAAAATCTAAAAATAAATATCTAAAACTTTAAAAAACCTAAAAATTCAATGAAATTATATAAAACTTTAATAACTTTGATGAATTTAAAAATTTTTTTTATAAAACTTTATTTTATAAAACAATATTATTTACAACTTTATAATATTACTAATTATTAAAAAAACTTAATATACAATAACATTTTTTTACAGTTTTTTTACTAGGACTTTAGATATTTTTAAAACCCTATTAGTAACAAGTTATCATTAGGAAAAAAAAAAAAAAATTTTCTCAAAAATTTAACAAAATAAGCATAACAATTAACATCCTTAACTTACTATCAATAACAATTAACATCATTAACTTACTATTAATAACAATTAACATCATTAACTTATTATCAATAACAGTTAACATCATTAACTTACTATCAATAACAGCCTCAAATTTTTTCCAAACATACTTTGGTGCTGGATAACCAGCAATATCACAAACTAATGTAACATCTGATCCGGCTTTTACAATTTCTTCTTTAGATGGTTGGTTTGTTTCAGCTGAAACTGAATAAAACATTGCATTTTTAATATTAACTCCTAAATTGTTCATAATGAACATATATCAATATTATATATGTACAATAAGGTGGGGCCTTGATTGAAGAGAAGGCCTACGAATATATGTCAAACTCCAGAAAGTCTGGTGTTTAGTCAGGAAGAAAGTAGACAAGATGTTAACCTAGTTAGCTTTGATTGGAATCAGCTTTAGGCTGGATTAACCTGGAGCCTACCATAAAGCTAGGTACAGTATAATGAAAAAATAAATAAAAATAAATAAATTATAAAACTTGTTTAAAAATTAACACAATTTTAATATAATATAATTAACATATACAATTTATGCATACTTGGATAATTTAAGATATTTTGATCATCTAAGATATTATGATCAGGTTTCATGGCTCTATACAGATAAGACCACCAAGATTATGAATGAGAAAAAAAAGGTGGTTGAGACTGCAGTTTTCTTCACACCATTCTGTTTTGCGTCCTGGATTCTAAACTCATACTTGGTTGCAAACTCGTTTTGTATTATGGATAAATATCCTAAACTTGGGTCTGCATGAAACAAAAAAACTGATATTTGTTTTTTATTCTGAGTAATAAAATACTCAAAGAGATCAATAGAATGGCTGACTACATTTCTCTCTTTCTTAGTTCCACAAGTTTTGATATCACAATAGAATGGCTGACTACATTTCTCTCTTTCTTAGTTCCACAAGTTTTGATATCACAATAGAATGGCTGACTACATTTATCTCTTTCTTAGTTCCACAAGTTTTGATATCACAATAGAATGGCTGACTACATTTCTCTCTTTCTTAGTTCCACAAGTTTTGATATCTTACTATTTAAGAAATATTTTTGTCATGTCAAATAACAAATTGTTTAAAAATAATGGTTTGCAAAATGGTTTAAAATCAGATATAAAATGCAAACAAAATAACTCTAAACCAACTTTTTTTTTCCCATGACAGACTTTTCTTAAAATCAGTAGAAATTTAATAAAAATGAAATCAATAGAAATAGCACTTTGATTTTATCTTATCAAAATTAAATGTAATAAGTTTTAAGCAGTGTCATTTTAAACCTTAATTATCTACATTGCATTATTTTTAATTTACACTTTTAAGATCAATAAGACTATTGGCAAATGCAATAATTTCTGCAGAAGCTTGCTGCAGAGGTGAAATGTAAAAATGATAAAAAAATATAAAAATGTTAAAGAGTTCTGTATTCAAAAGCAAAGAGAGGTCCAAAAAGATGTAAAAATGGATAGAATCAAAGCTGAAATCCTTCTGAAAACAGTTTTTGTTGATAAAATCCAGCCACTAGGACTTGAGTTGTATATTTCACCAGACTACTGGTTAATTTTTGGTATTCTAGGTCATAGTTTGAAAAAATACCTACGGATGAGACTCCCTCAGACTTTTTGGATACAATAAATTTCAAAACTTTTAAAATCTTTCAAAGTTGCTAACAACTCATCAGAACTCACAGCAAAATCGTAAATCTATTGACCATAGTTTAATAAGTTTATTTCTCAAAACAAAAAAATATATTTCTTGTTTTAAAAAAAAATTTATTTTGTAATAAAAAATTCAATTTTGCTGTGCTTACAGTGAAATTTATTGAAGATAATGTAGAACATGTGATGAGTTTGGAGAAGCTTCAGAAGCTACTTCAAATAAAGAGTTATTGTAAAAAACCATTAAAAAAGAAGAAGAGTGAACTAGCTACGATGACTGCTTTCTCGCTTTCTTGTTATTGAATGGTTTTAATCATTTGAATTTTGATTAGATACCTGCAATCTCTGAACCTTAAAAGTACATTTAAAATTAATTTTTTTACATATTTTCTTGAGATATTTGTCTTAAGCTGAAAACTTATGTGTATAATATTCATTCATAATTCATCCAGACCATATTTAAAAAATACGAAAAATTGTTTGAGTAAAATATCCAGAAAAAATCTGAAATATGATTTCCTCTATCATAACAATTGTAATTATTCCTTCTTGAGACCAACCACTGGAATTAAAATCGGTCTTCTCCAAGCAGGCACAGATTGTTGGATGTCTTGAAGACGTCCTAAGGACTTATGACATTGTATAGACATCCCATGGATGTCTGTGCCCGCTGAGTACTCATGATGAATCTATGAATGTTGCATTAAAAGAAACATTTAAATAGATTTAAAATAGTGATGATTGTCAATTTTTATCAGAAGAGTTAAAAAAATATTTTTTTAAATTTAGATTTAGATAGTAGAACAATTAAGTTACAACTGAAGATAAAAAACCAGGCAAACCTTCATCTGTTTTTTTGACAATCATCTCAATATTTTTAACCAAGCATGAGAAGAAAAGCTAAAATAAAAAGAATAAATGACAAATTTTGAATCTTGAAAACTACGGCATTATTCATTTGAGAAACATCCAACGATTAATATTTGATAATACCAATTATCTCTCGTCTAGTCGAATGTTTAAAGATATTAACAGCGACATTTCCAAGTCATTGACTTTTTTTAGAGCAAGTAATTCTTATAAATAAGTAATCCAAGTTAATTTAATATTATTACATTTAATATTAGTGTGTACAAGTATCAGCAACAGTATTATTACTGCTGTTAGGATCTTTTAAATTGAAATTACAATTCAGTCTTTCAATTTTTTCTATCGACGGTTTGGTTCAAAACATTTTATCCAAAACATTTTATCCAAATTTTTTTAATCTTTTGGTTTATGTGCATCTTATAATGACCCTGTGATGTAGGCTTTAGCAGTTTTTCACCATTCACCTTCTATTTTACTACCACAAACTGGCATATTTATTCAATATGTTGCGGGCAATGCTGATATAAATGTAAAGACTTAAAGCAGTAATAAAACGCAGTGCATAATGGGTACTATTCAAATTGTTACCCCATTACAATCAGTAACACAAGAAGATAATTTCATATACTAATATTATAAGAAATATATAATAGTGGTGACAATAGTGAAATATGTGAAGCAATAGCTTATCAGTTCAATGAATAACTGAGAATTTAAAAACAATAACCTACAGAAAAACTATGGATTCAGTATTTTAATATGGTGTCGATTGCAAAGGAATTTATAGAAGCTGAACCCATGGAAGATTAGCTAACTTATTTGAACATCATTAAAGAAAAGCTTCCATATTTTCACCCACCTTAGCTTTACCACATTTACCTTATGCTAAGTCTGTGCTAATTTTTTTGTTGGATATGCTACAATTAGATAAGCTTGGTAGCTTTCCTTAAAACTTACCCTTGACTGGAAAAATACCAACTTTTTTTTTATCATTGACATTGATTAATTTTTTGCAGATGTAGGATTGGTGGATGCAGATGTAAGATTGGTGGGGAAATTTAATAATTATTTTAATATTAATACTATAAAAAGTTCATGTTCATTGCTTCTCTTTCATTTTTAAAGTAGTTTTAATTAGTTACTAGGTTTTTCTAAATTTGAAAGAGTGCGTTCTCAATGCATGCGGTCTTTAAAGAAAGATCAAGCAAATTAAAAGTTTTTACCTTTTGGAATTTAATTATTATTTATTAGTTTAGAAATATTACATAAAGAATCATATTACGATAAATAATCATTGTAGGAATCATATTATAATTGAAGTAAGTATAGAAAATAGTTTAGCAATTTATATATAACATTTTTATTAAATATAAAGTAGAAAGAATCACTCCTTTTAATTTTTTAAATCAATTACATTTTGTTTGTTTAGTTTTTCTTTTAGCTTTATTTTTTTTAGCAGTTTTGTTTTTATTGAGCTTATATTTTATCTTTTAGAAGGAAAATAGGGGTATGGATGAGGCCTAATTATTTTTTATGCATTTTTTTATGCAACAAAAAAGTTATACTAATGTTATTTCCATAAAATTGGTTATTACTACTTTGAAACTGTTATTACTACTTTAAAATTTCTGTGGTGCTATTAACTATTTTAGTTCTTTTTTAGAAAATTTAGAAAAATAAATAAAAATTTTGTGCCAACACTGACATGGCATGTCACATTTTATTGAATGTAAAGGTTAAATTTTGTTATGAGGATTACAGTTCTTATGGAAAAAAAAAAAGGTAAAGAGTATTGTTTGTATATACATACTTTTTTTTTAACTCTTTTTAAATTATCTCATGTCATTTTAAAAATTTTTGTTTGCACAATTCAAGTTAAATGTGTTTAAATATGTTTATATAAGGTTAAATATATATATTGTTTATAGTTGGTACATATGTTTATATTATATTCTTTCCATGTTTTTCAACCTTGCCAGCCAAGTGATGTACTTATAGCAGAGGGTTACACAGCAGTGTTTAGTGTCAAACTGTTACTGCTTTAGGTCTAGGTGTTTTCAAGCCTTTATTATAAATTATTCTGAAAATACATAACAATGTATTTTAATAACATTTTGCATAATGTTGTTATCTGTTTTTAATAACATTTTGCATAATGTTCTGTTATATATAAATGTTATGTTACTTAAGTTATGTTATATGCATATTATATTAACTTATGGTGTTTGCTATTGTTGTGTGTGTGTGTTTTTTTTTTAAGCTTTTGAGTTGATAGACATTTGGCTTACCTTCACGTTGGTGTCCATTGTTAAAAATGATAAATAGGCAATTTCATTATTAGATCTCACTGCTTTAATCATTCATTAAAAGCCTATTACTCTGTATTATACATATATTTGCTTCTAGCCAAATATCTTTTTTTAATTAAAATTTTTTTTTAAGTTTCTTTTTATTTGCAGGCTTAACTTGATTTTCCTTTTCTGGTACTGGCTGTGTTTTGACAAATTTTAAAAAGAAAGAATTTATGTCATTAAGTATACGCAATGACATTTCTGATAGAAAGTTAAATTTAAAATATTATTTATAGATAAATTTTTGTTTAATTAGATATCAAGTTATTAATGTATAACTTTTAGATGATATTATTAATGTGTTATTAATGTGGTATTAATATGTTTTTATTGTTATTAATGGTTTAGTTACTAATAACCCATATTACGAGTTGCTTACTGCTAGTTTATAATAATATTCCTATGGTCAATACCAACTTTCATCATATGCAAATTATTGAAAAATTGAAATATATTTTGATAGGCTAAAAATTTTAAAAACTTTTTTAAAAAACACATAAACAACTTTATACATTGGAATGGTTTTTATTTTTTTTAATAAAAATGTTTTTTTTAATTTTTTTACCGCTAACATACATTGACTAACAAATAGGTAGAACATGTGAGGAGTGTTACTACATGTTAAAACATGCAAGGTGTGCTGCTACATTGACTGAGGGTTTTGGTTTGGGCAGGCAATCTATCAATTAAATTTTTTTTTTTTCTAATTTTTTCGGTCTTCTAAATTAATATATTTTTTAAAAACATAAAAGTTAATTTTATGGTAAAAAAAAATGCATTTGAGACTATTTTTTAGATTTTTCAAAAATCATATTTAATAAGTGAACATGTCAATTTTTTGAGTAAATTCTCTGGAAAAAAATAATGGGACATATAACATAAATGATTTATTAAGAAGACTTATGGTAGAATTAATATTTTGTGTGACCTCCTTTAGCTTTTATAATAGCATTCAAACAGCTTGGCATAGATTCCACTAATTTTTTTGTAATATCAGAACTTATTTCATTCCAAGCCATTGTAACAGCAGTTTCTAATTCTCCCTTTTGCTTCAAGTGATGATTCATTATTTTGTTTATCTAAAATCGACCATAAATTTTCGACATGATTTATATCTGGATTTTATGCTGGCCATTCAAGAACATTTATGGATTTGATTTGTAAAAATTCTGTTGTTTTTTTCAACTTATGTTTTGAATCATTGTCATGTTGAAATATAAAATTTCAACTTAATCTTAATTTACACACTGATGAAGTCAAATTTTTATTCAAAATATTAATGTGCATATCTGAATTCATTGAAATCTTTAATAAATTCAAGATTTCCAACACCATTCCACGACATACAGCCCCATACCATTATATTACCATGTTTTATGGTTCCTTGCATGCAACATAAATGGTAAGCTTCACCAGTTTTTCTCCAAATTTTGTTTACTATCAGAATGTACCAAACTAAATTTGGTTTCATCTGACCACATTATCTTCTTCTAAAATGAAATTGGCTTATCAACATGAGTTTTAGCAAATAATAATTGTTTTTTCTTATGTTGCTATGTCAAAAATGTTTTTTAATGTGGTGTGTAGCTTTTAAAGCTATTTTCATGAAAACGATTTCGGATTGTTTTATCAGCTATTTTGGTTGCAGTGTTATTTTCAATATATTTTTAACTTTTCTGGATGACTCCAATCTACTTTTCTTGAATAATCTTACGAACAAGTTACGATCAAGATCTTCTTTGACAGTAGTCTTACATTTGCACCCACATCCTTTCAAAATCTTTATAGTTTGGCAACTTTCAAACATTTTTACAATACTTGAAATGGTGGAATGTGGAACTCCAGTCTTTTTTTCAATAGTTCTGTAAGTTTTTTTTTGTTTAACTAAACCCAAAATTAATTTTCATTAATTCTCATTCAAATATTGTTTTGCTGGAGCTAAATAAAATATAGAATTTGCTCCTAAATATTTCATAAAATAATTTTTTTGAGAAAAAAAAGTGTTTTATATTTAGAAAATTATTAGTATCTTACAAAAATAATTATAAATTAGAATTATATAAAACATTTTTAATGAAAAACAATTTGTCCCGTTGTATTTTTCTGCTCAAATTACCAAAAAAAAAAAAAAACACATCTAACTTTAATGATTCAAAATATACAAATGAGTTAAATTTGTCATCTAAATTGTGCAACATTTGTTTGTCTGTGTCAAACGATTCTGATAAAAACAAAAGAGTACCATTATATATATATATATATATATATATATATATATATATATATATATATATATATATATATATATATATATATATATATATATTATATCAACATATTTTGACATAATTTTATGTCTGAATTGTTTTCTGATGAATTAAAATATATATTAGGGCCCTGTTTTCTGATAAATTAATATATATATTAGGGCCCTGCAAAGCTTCAAAATTTCAAATCGAATCAAAAATATGATTCAAAATATGATTCAAAAATTTTAAAATATCGAATCTTTACTTATTTTGCTTTTGTTGTGGATATTTTAGATATTCTGTGCTTTGGCGCTATCAAAATAACGTTACTTATCCTTAAATACCATTTTAATCAGTCGTTGAAAAGGTTAAACAGGGTAAGAAGCATCAATAAAGAGATTATACAATTGTTTTTTTTAATTTTATTTTTAAAATATATATATTTAAATAAAAAATGCTTATATTTAGACTTCAAAATATTGATTCAAAATGTGATTCGAATGGCGAATCAAGACCTGCTTTGATTCGAGATTAAATTCGAAACAAAAACTGTTTTTTTATTAAAAATTAACTTTTTAATACAAAAATGTTGTAACAATACCAAAACAGCACTATTGATGATACTTTGAAAGGCATATATATATATATATATATATATATATATATATATATATATATATATATATATATATATATATATATATATATATATATATATATATATATATATATACATACATATTTAAAAAAAAAAGAAGGAAAACTCATACTTTCTGCCAAATTAAATATCTTTGTATATTTTTTTTCATAACCATCAACGGAGAGCTTTGCTATACAACTATATTTTCCGCCATTACTATATTTAACACCAGAAATGATTACTTTAGATCTTAAAAAAGTTTGATTTGAAGCATCTGGTATGTACTTAATGTTTGATTCAAGTATACCATCAAAATTCCATTCAATATCAACGTGATATTTTTCATTTCTTTTACTGACTACACTACAACTGAATGAGAAATCAGAACCATATACAGTAGACAATGTAGTTGGAGCATCATTAACAAATTTTGGTACATACTGCTCTATATAAAAAAACATAATAATTTTAACAAATCAAATACTATAGCATATATATATATATATATATATATATATATATATATATATATATATATATATATATATATATATATATATATATATATATGTGTGTGTGTGTATATATATATATATATATATATATATATATATATATATATATATATATATATATATATATATATATATATATATATATATATATGTATATATATATATATATTAGTAAAAACACTTATCTAGTTTTTTTCTTTTACAAATTGTTTCACCATCAGTAGGTTCATCAGGAAGAACCTTCCTGATGAACTTACTGATGGCGAAACAATTTGTAGAAGAAAAAAAAAAAAATTGTGTTTTTACTAAAAACATTTGAATGAATAAAATACCGTGCATTTGTTTGTTCAGATTTTTATTTTGTAAAAAAAACCTTTAAAAAAAATTAAAAAATACTTTTTAACTACTTGATTAAAAAAGTTAAAACTAAAAAATAGGCTAAAAAAAACTTGCAATTAAAATAATTAGACAAAAAAAGCGTTATAGGTTAAACCTATTTAGAAAGCCTATAAAGAAAAAATACTTCTTTTTCTGCACTTCCAGAAAGCACAGAGTCATACTTCTGGAGCACTTAAAATAAGAATGAAAATTTTATAATTAATATTAGTAAATTAAAATAATAATTTTGTGGATTTTCAGAATTGATTTTGCTAAACATTTGATTTGATTAATGTCTACTTTTTTTTTTATCTAATAAAGTCCATAAATCCTTTATTGAAATCAGGGCTTTGTGAAATCCATTCTAAAACCTTTATGACATTTTTATTAAAAAAGGTTTTAGTTTTTAAGCAGTGTGTTTCTGATTATTGTCTTGTTGAAATACAAAATAGTTTCTAGTTTTGCAACTTTTGTTCAATATATTTTTATAAAAATTAGCATTCATAGTTTTATCAATAAATTAAAATTTACCAATGCCATTCCAGGGGTGGATCAAGGTTACGGCACATTAGGTGCCTAAGGAGAAATATTATATTACTATTAAGATTTAATTTACATTTTCAAATTCCATTGGTGATTTTTTATTATTCACGGTTACAGTGTTGCTAACAAGTAACATAACTATGGTAAGCGTGGGAGTGTTACAAACTATAATTCGGGATATTCCCTCGGAATTAGGAAAAATGAGGTTGGCAATAATTTACCGACCTCAATCTTTCTGAGGTCGGCATCAGGTCGGCAAAAATTATTTGGTACAAAGGTCTGACGATAAAAACATAGAAACAAGGTCAGCAATTTGTAGCTAACCTCAAGCACTTTCAGGTGGGCAGTTAGGTTGGCATTGCCGATTGCCGACCCTAACTCCGAGGGTTGCAATCCAATGCCTATTCTTATCTTGGTACAAATTGTGGATATAAACCACTTAACAAACAAAAGTTACCTTATGCTTAAAGTAGTGCAATTGATCTGCTTAATCTGATCTGGATTGTCTGAAAATTGTGCAACTTGAAAAAATTGATAAACAAGGCAATAAATTGCCTAAGGATTTTGCAGTTAGCATTTTAAAATTCTATAGGCGCCATACATATGTATGTATGTATGTATGTATGTATGTATGTATGTATGTATGTATGTATGTATGTATGTATGTATGTATGTAAAACTAAAATCTATAAACAAAAAAATATAAAAAATATAAAATCTTAAACAATCTATTATTTAGTTTTTAAAGTGAATGAAATAATTTTATTTTTATTAAATATAACTTCTTCTGCTTGTATTATAAAAAAATTTACTTTATTAAGTCTCTTTTTAAACTTTTTTAATGGTTTTTCTCAGTCGTTCAAATTGTTATAAATATTTATGATGTCTGACATTTAATGTTATAATGTACAAATGGCTTTAGAGCAAAACGATTAATGAAATTTGCAAGAAGTTATCTTATGAAGTAAGTTCTTATTGTTTTCTGCATAAGAAAACCTGCATTCATCTTCAAAATCATGTTCAGAACCAAACATCAAACGCTCGAAATTGGATAAAATTGTACCCAATCAGAAAGCTATTAGCTATTTATAATGCATTATTTATATAAGGCTATTATGCAATAAAGCAACAAATTATTTTCAGTGAAAGTAATTTGTTGCTTTATCTGCAGTTTTATGAATTTGCAAAAAGTGAACAATAATTTTTTTTCTCTTCCTGTTACATTATAAAAACATATGCTTGGCTTAGTGAATTACAAACTGTTAGCATAGTTTTCTAACATTGTTGTTGTTATGTTTGTATATGTAAACATATATATATATATATATATATATATATATATATATATATATATATATATATATATATATATATATATGTATGTATGTATTTTTTATATGTTATGTTTGTATATGTAAACATATATATATATATATATATATATATATATATATATATATATATATATATATATATATATATATATATATATATACATATATACATATATATGTATTTTTTATATATTAATAAAATATAAAAAGTATATATCTATAGAAAAAAGATACATAAAAACATCACAACAGCAATATTACAAAACTATGGTAGCAGTTTGTAATTTACTAAAACAAGCATATATTTTTATACTCAGGCCTTGTTATGAGATTTTGTCGCGTAACGGAAAAGCGTAATGCGAATAAATGTATCTTTACTCAATTTACATCGTTACAAAGATATCTACATCGTCAAAAGTTTAAATTGCCTCATTGTAATTAAATTTAAAACCACATTAACAACTGTTGTAAGTCTTTATGTTTATGAAATATCTTTAAATTAAACAATACTGTTTAAAAAAAGTTATAAATAAAATTCAAATTAAATTCAAAGACAAATCTTATACTTATTAAAAATTTTTTTTCTTTCTTTAAAACATTCGTTTTATGGTTATTATTTTTATGGTTATTCGTTTTATGGTTATTTTATTTTTTATGCTTGAATTTCTTAAAGGGATTTAAATGTACTTCCTTAAGTTTTTTAAACGGTTTACACAACTATACAATTAGATTGGAATTTCCCCTTTATAAAGAACATTTGCGCTACCTAACACATTTTATTTCAACTGGCTTTTGACAAAATAAAAATTGTAATTAAATGAAGATTACCGCTTTTCTGCTTTGTGATGCAAAGAATGATAAAGAAAAAATTTATGTTAAAAAGCAATTTCAAAACTGAAATGTAAAATAAAGTTATATGTAACACGACATTTTAAAGTAACTTGAATAAAAAAATTTTTTTTTTTACTTTAACATAGTTTGAAAATTTTAGCAGAAAAAAATTGTAAAAGTAATGATAAAGGAATAAACTAAATAAACAATGTAAAGCATTTTAAAACTTTTGAAAGAATTTTAATAAATTTAATAAAATAAATTTATATTTTACTATATTTAACAATAAAATTTATGTTAAAAAGCAATTTCAAAACTGAAATGTAAAATAAAGTTATATGTAACACGACATTTTAAAGTAACTTGAATAAAAAAATTTTTTTTTTTTACTTTAACATAGTTTGAAAATTTTAGCAGAAAAAAATTGTAAAAGTAATGATAAAGGAATAAAATAAATAAACAATGTAAAGCATTTTAAAACTTTTGAAAGAATTTTAATAAATTTAATAAAATAAATTTATATTTTATTATATTTAACAATAAATTTAATTTAAATTCAATAAAAGTTTGTTTAGTTGAATTATGGCTTCTGCAAAATGAAGTTTTTAAACTCCATTTTGCAAAAGTTTCATTAATGATAGAGAATTAAATACTTCAATAAAATTTATGGACTTAAGATACTTAATTTGTAGAGTTTTCCATATTTAAGATCCTTTTAAGACTATATTAAAGTTAAGAATTTAACAGGTCAAAATTTAAATTATATTAAATTTAAAAATTAAATTGCTTAAACTTTAATTTTTAAATTTTTCTCTGTTATACTATGAAAAATAATAGAATTCGCTATAATCATACTGAAAACAATTAGGTTTATTTTCAAAGATCAAATGCAGTGATAAATTTAAAACTTTAAATGCCTTTTTTTCAGAACAGCAAAATCGGACTTTGTTTTGCAGCAACGATATATCTATTTTTTTTTATTTAATAAAAAAAATATTCCACAAATGTTTTTTACAACAATTAATTACAGCCTAATGTTTTCCGCATAACCTGTTATAATAAAAGATGTTTAAATAAACTAATTGAAAAAAGTTTTAGCATAACGTAAATTAAACTTAACAAGGCCTGTATACTATTATTATAAAAACATATGCTAGACCTAGTAAAGTACAAACTGCTAGTTTTGTATGATGCTGGTTTGCACCTTTTATCACCAAATTTGACATGAATGTTTAGAAATATAAGTTAGGAGAGAGTTTAAATTATTTTTATAAAAAATGTCAGTTTTGTAATATTCAGGCTTGGTCGGGAAGCGGGAGCGATCGCTCTCGATTGCTGACCACGAAAATAATATTTAGTTGCGAAAAGCTGGCCAGATTTTTTAGTCGTTTTGAGAACATTTTAAAAAGCAAAAAAAAAAAAGCGACGAAGATTAATTGGACCGATGAGAGACAATTACAAAAAAAAAAAAGTAGGCAAATAAAATATCTTTAAACGCGAAAAAACTTTAAGCTAAATATTACATATAGAACAAATATTTTCTAAAAATTACATATAGAACAAATATTTTCGAAACATCGCTTTTTTACATTTTTTTTTTTTAAAATTAAGCGATGTTTTTTATATAAAGTAACAACTTACGATTGTTTAAAAGGGAAACAAATATTCTTTATTTAACTAAGTTTGCAAGTTTTAGTTTTACTTCAGCTTAATTTATTTTATAAATAAAAAAGTTAATTTTTTTAATACCTAATTTATGTTTCGCGTAGTTTGAAAAGTTTAACATATTTGAAGCGAGTCTTCTTAGTAAGATAAACAAATGGAATAATTAAATCATTGAAATA